CTGATTTTTTACTTTTGGGAACACTTCGTTTTTGGACCTCGGTTTTTCAAAACGGGTTTCAGCTCGCTAGACTTTAGCTGGGTGATAATCGATTATCACCTTAGTGACAATCGACTATCAGCCCCTGCAGCTTTGAACTTCCAAAGTTCTGAAGCACGCAATAATCGATTATCAGTTATGCAATAATCGATTATCAGTCTTTGCACCCAAAACCCAGAATCTTCTGAGAGGACCAATAATCGATTCTCACTTGTTGACAATCGGTTATCTGGGTTATCGTTGTCTTCCAACGGATAGAATTTTAAATTTTTGGACAAGGAATCTTTGGATAATCGATTATCAAGCTTGACAATCGACTATCACCCTGTGTCTCTGAAAAAATTTTCTTCATCCTGTTGGAAATTTTAGCAACGGGTTTATCCTTTTTTGAGCTATAAAATGGCACCCAAATCCTCTCATTTCAGACACAATTCTTTAACATTTCAATATTCTTTCATTGCATAATCATTCCTAATTTTCTTAGCTATTTGAGAGCCAATTCTTGAAGAAATTGTCGTGTTCTTGAGCGTTTATTAGTTCACTCATATCTACTCTTTGTAAGAGTTTTATTCCTGAGTGTTTAAGTGTTTTCATACACTTTAAGGGAGGTTGTTCCCTTGTTGTAAACTCGAAGGAAATTACTTGTTCCTTCGTGAGAAGTCTTGGAGTGCGGTATCTTCGAGCAAAAGTGTTGAGGCTCGTGTGACTCGGGTTCTCAAGTTGTATCGGTTTGTTAAGCACCCTTAAGCTTAACGGAGTTAGTGTAGCTCGAGAGAGTCTCTCGGGGGGCTGGATTAGCCACACATTGTGGTGAACCAGGATAAAATTTGGTGTGCTCATTCCTTACGCTCTTTACTTTAACGCTCTCATTTTAATTTACTGCGATTTTGTTTTAAACGCAATTCACCCCCCCCCCCCTCTAGCGTTGGGCCTTTATTCTAACAATTTGTATCGGAGCCATACTCTATGAAAGACTTAACCGTTTGAGAGAAACGATCAATGGCTTCTACTCAAAGTTCATACGCAGGTTTAGGTGAAGGGCAATCCACCACGAGGCCTCCATTGTTTGATGGAATAAACTACACCTATTGGAAGGAGCGGATGAGGATTTACATCCAATCCACCAACTTTCTCCTTTGGAGAATTATCAAAAATGGTGAGAACATGCCAATGAAGAAGGTCGAGGAAACCAACGTCCCCAAGACTGAGGATGAATATGATGCACAAAGACATCAAGAACGTGGAAAACAATGCCAATGCCAAGACCATTACTGTTGTTTTGGGTGTGTAGCTCAAAGTAAATAATCAATTGCTTTTACTTTAAGTCATATCCAAAGTTGCTTGTTCATTTAATGCTTCGTATATCAATGCTCATTGACATGTCGAACAAATTTGAAAAAATGGTAACACCATTAAAATGGGTTTGGGTGTGTGGCTCAAAGCAAATAATTAATTGCTTCTACTTTAAGCCATATAAGGGTTTGTTCATTTAATGTTTCGTATATCAATACTACTTGATATGTCCAACAAATTTGAAAATTGTTTACACCATTAATGTGAGTTTGGCTATGTTGCTCAAAACAAATAATTAATTGTTTATACTTTAAGTCATATTTGAAATGACTTGCATTAAATGGCTCATGGCTCAAGACCCACGTTTTCCATTGAATTTCATCTATTACACTCATTTAAAGCTTTTCTTGCTCGTTTTTTCATAAAGAAAAATGATGAAACACATGGTTTTATGGCTACGCATGCTACTCTCCATATTAAATGCATATATTTATTAAATCTTTTTTATTCGATTAGACATAAAGATTACCTTGAACCATGCATTTCTTTTTTGTCAATTCTCGAAAACATAAAGCATGCATTTTTCAAACTTTTGTTTTTTCATTTTTCTTTTTCTCAAAAACATACAGGTTCTGAATCATTTTTCGTTTTGCATATAGGGTCAAACAAAATACCCAACCCCGTAGTATTTACGCATGATGTACATGTTATTGTTACGTGATACGGAGTAATATTTAGGAAACAACATTTGGTAATATAATATACTACAATAATGTGTTAGGAATGAAAATGAAAATAATAATAATGTCGAAGTATAGATATCTAAACACTCTAATACGTAAATGTAAGTATTAAAAATTTTAAATTTTGGCGTTTTTTTCAAATACTTGGTATATAATGTCCATCTCTTTAATCACCACAGCCCCAAATCCCATTTCCCAAACTAATCGCTCATATCATACTCCTCAATCTCTCTTTAGGGTTTCGTACTCCATCGTGGGATTCAAATGGGCCGATCTCTGCCGCCAGCCGTAACGGTCGGAAAAAGGTTTCTATTTCTCATCTTTACCCCAACAACGACATGCACTCGTTAATCTACTATGACGTTGTAGATGATCGGAGGTAATCGCTGGTGAATGGTAAGTGTTTCATATATAATCGCACACTTCTTGTCAGATCCGATAATGTAAATTGCACAGAACTTTAAGTATATATGATATATGTGCAAAGTTTTGAGATGTGTTTTCTGCTTCTAGTTTCTGGACATTACACATCTTCCACTCTTCTTTTTTTTGAAATTATGAACTATTATTTCATGACATTATCAATAGGCTTATTTTTAAACACAATAAGAAACACATGCATTAAAAAATTGATACTCTGTTCCATTTTGGGTTTTAATATTGGAATATTTTTTTGAAATACGATCTAATAGCATTTTCTGTAAGGCGTAAACATTTTACTCTATATAATCAAATACTTCCTATTTTCTACTCATATGGAGCACCCAGTAAAGTTTTTTTGAACATATTCATTGCTTTTTTATTTGCACCTAGTTGTTTTTGAAATAATTTATAATGCTAACTTTTTAACATTGAGGAGACAAACTCTGTTTTTTTACCAAGAAAATAATGTGGAGAGACTTCCTTGTGCATTTGTGCTATGTTGAGTTTAGATTGATGTAAGAGTTGAATTGTGATATGTTTTGATTGACTTACTATTTCAGGAAGATATAGAATACAAATTACCTTTGGTGAATCCAAATGCATTAATTTTTGAAGGCATTGTGCAAATAATGTTGCCTTCCTTCATCATGGAAGAGATGAACTATGACGGACCATATTTTTAAATTTTTTTGTTGCATGTAAATTGTGTTGAGAGGTGTGAATTTTGAATCAAATACCAATGTATATATAGTTAGAAATTACAATATGATGAATGTGCAAAAGATATAACACGTCCCTCAATGGATTAATCGTGCTCCACAGCTGCCCGCACAACTTCCAAGCCCATATTAAAGATGGCACGGAGCTCCAAAAATTTGCAAATCTCTAATGTATTATCTCTATGGTGTCCAGTGAAAAGAGAGTCAGAGAGAACATGCAAGCCAATTGGTAGAAGCCCAAGGCCATAATCCCTCACAACTTCCAATAATGACTTCTTAGTTTGCCCATAAAGCAGCCGCCCAAAAACTGTCTAAGCATACCCTCCAAGGCAAAAGTCATTATGTTTTTACGACCTTCTATAAAATTACTCATTTTATTTAACCAAATCTGCCCATACCCGATGACCAATCCAAAACCGAAATACTTAGGCGGGAAAAAACACTATTCATTTTCTCCCATTTGCTTTGTATATTAGTAGATAGTAGATATTAACTTTTCCTAGAACAGAAAACAAAATTTGTAAATTGTTAGACAAATCTCTGACAATAGTGTACTGTTATATCTTTAAAAATACTAATTTTAAATTTAAAATTAAAAAAAAGTAAAAAGTAAATTTTTCTCAAATAATCTCACCTTTCATTTATTTGCGAAAAACAGATACTCCCTCCGTCCCAAAAAGTCTGTCACGTTTTGAAAAATTTGCGTCCCTTAACGTCCTTTACATTTCTATTAAAAAACCACTTTTGCCCTTACTTTTTCATACCCTATCTATCACATCATACCTTTTTCTTAATAATCTACCCATCACATCCTCTTTTTACCCATCACATTAAGGGTATTTTTGGAAAAATCAACACAAAATTATCCATCCTTATTTTACCACTTTAGTCAAAATGTCTCAATCTTTTTGGGACGCATGGAGTATTTTATAATTTTTTTTAAAATGGCCGTAAGTTTTTTAACGGCGATCTAAAATTCACACATGCGGAAAGATGAGATTATTTGCGGGGATAGTGAAAATGAGATTATTTTTGAAAGAGTGCGAAAAGGTTAATAAATTGAGATAATTTTTCTAAAAATAAAACAAAAAGTATTAGAAATTCCGAAGACAATAAAACCCGGATACTAAGGATCTCAAACTTCTTTTCTTCTACTCCTTTTGGGAGTAGAAATAACTGCAAATTGAACTCATGGGAGGAGGACGAACCATGAGAATTTACTCTAAAGAATATCACTCGGATTAGGAATTCAATCTAACATGGAATTTCTGGTTGGAGAATTAAACACAACGAACCTTAATTCCCCTCTTAATAATTAAATTACTCACATATATAATGAATCCTATCCTACACCAACTCTAATTACCCAATTCTTGTGCGCACTCATTCTACCTATATAAATATGAGATAGGAGCTCGATCCATCTATCCTATTCATTCATAATCGATCCTTCATATATANGAGGGACCACTGCTAGTACATGTTGGGGATATAATGGGTTGGGTTTTGGCTCTTAGTTTTCGGCCATTCAAGGGAAAAGAAAGGGTTTGTGGTTTTAGCATGTGGTTTAAAATGTGATGGGGTGTTGTGGGGGTGTGTGGGTTCGGCCAAGGTAGAAGGAAAGGGGGGAAGGACTTGGGTTTGATTTGGATATTTGGGGGGGGGGGTTGGTTTTGGGTGGTATTTTCGGCCATCAAGGTGGGGGAAGGTCCAAAAGGACTAGGGTTGGGTTGTATGGTATAGGGGTGATATATTCATTCCAAAAAGGATTAAAACACTTGGACATTATTCCACAGATTTGTTTAAGGACTTGGGGATCGTTGTTATTAACCGGGGGTATATCAGTTATATTGCACTATTACTGGTTTTGGTATACATGTTTATCATAGGCGGTGAAAAGTTTTGTATGCGACATTGGCATGGACAGGGTCTTTGAAAAGTCAAATCTTGGGTCGGTCGGGAAAATAACTTATTCATGATACTTTTTATAGTAAAATTTCAATACGCGGATAGAAAGTATTTATCAAACTTGGGTGGCCAGGACTACCCCCCTCCCCAAAAGCTATGCCGATGGTCAGAGATTGTATATAGCTTGTTAAAGCAGATTGCTTTGTGTTGTATGTATATTGCAGGAGAACATTGATAATGGCGTTAAAGATGACTTAAAGCCCCCAGACAGTGCTATTGACATTTTGAATGGTCAGGGTGATGAAATGTCTTTTCAAAACAAGTCCTTTAGCATTGACAACTGGCAAGATAACACTCGTAGCGAATCTGCTGTTCTTGAGGTTAGTTATGGGTACTATTTAAGTTTTAAATGTGTGCCTTTCCTAATTTGGAGGTTACATGCCTTTTCTAGTATGTCTGAGTTTTTTGGACCAATAATTTCTTCTATGCTATGTGTGGTTGTCAAATCCTTTCTTTTGTTTTTTTAATACTCTTTTCTCGTGATATGGTTGGATATGTGGTGGATGTAGCTGTAGTTGCCAGATATATGTTGGCTGAAGGGTGCGACGGACACATGCAGTGTCGAAGTGTAATCGTGTAAATTAGCTGGACCGAGCTTACTGTTCCAGACCGGAGGAAGATAGTGAGCTATGTCTATAAACTAATTACCAAACTACAACACAAGGTCACCGAAAAACGATAGAAGGAAACACTTGTAGTCTAATATTTATTAATAGTTTGTGTATTGAGAAAATATAAAGGTAGACAACACAAGGCTATAGAAGTATCCAAATTTGGATACCCTCAAATGAGAGTTTACATGAGTATCTATAGGGGATGACTTACATGAGTATTTATAGGTGATGATTCAGTGTCATGTAGACATTTGATGTTTATGTAGCATGTGAACAACCAGTGATTGCTTTAATTTCAATCAATCACTCTAGGCTTCCTTGTAATTGATTGATGGGCCCAAACAATCACACCCAATATGCTTTTGGTGCCGCTGGATGGCGTGTGGGTCCCTCTGTGTCTTCCTTGAAACTAACACTTGCCCTTTAAATAGACGAATAATTTATAACCCGGGCTTAGAGTTATAGCCCAGGCTACATTAATGTGTTTGATGATTAACCCACAACAATTACGCAAATCTTTTATAAGACAATCTCTTGAAATTTTTTGAATTGGTGTACGACTCCAGTTGACTAGGTATTTTTGTTTGAATGGTGCTGTTCGTACTGGGTTAACATCGGAGAATTAACTATGATGATTTTAAACCATTTCCATGGTCCAAGAGCACCCATTTTGCAACGCCCCTCTTCTAGGTTTTAAGTTTTTATGTCCCTTTATTAAAGAACTATCCTAGGCTAGGGACGTAATCCTTTGCCTGGTCAAGTCTTCCCTGAAAAGGGATACATGTGAAAGCAGTGTAAGATCATTCTGGGAATGGCTCACATTTTTTATGGGCATCTTTTAGTTTCCGCTAGTCCTTTTGTTCTAGCATGCACTCCCTACCTGATCGGATTTCGCAAGCCCGTGTAAGTACGGTTTGTTGGTTTCAAACCCTCTTCAAGGTTCCGCCCTCTTACAGGACTATAGCATTCTCTGAATTCGGATCCTCTCAAATGAGAGTTTACATGAGTATTTATAGGTGATGATTCAGTGTCGTGTAGACATGATGTTTACAATAGCATGTGAACAACCAGTGATTGATTTTATTCCAACCAATTACTTTAGCCTTTTAGACTTTCTTGTCATTGATTACTGGGTGCAAACACTCAAATAGAATATGCTTTTGACACCACTCGATAACGTGTGGGTCCCTTAATGTTTCTTCCTCTAAACTGCCACTTTCCCGATCTATAGACAAATAATTTATCACCCGGGCTTAGAGTTATAGCCTGGGTTGCATTAATGTGTTGAATGATTAATCTGAAGAGCATCATTTTTGAATGTCTATGTCCTTAGCCCGGTTGAGTTTTCGTCAGTTTGCCAGGTCTAACCTTTGCTGGGAAGAGTTGACTGTACTGTTAACTTAGTCAATATTGGGTTTATACCAATCAAAGTGAATTGATAATTGAGTTCGATAGATAACACCTTTTTTCCGCTCTTTCTTCAGCTACCAATATACAACAACAAAGCCTTATCCCACTCTGCATGGATCAAATGACGCTATTGCACCCTATCATGTATCATATCTACTGTGAGATTATTCACGTGAATGTCTCCTTTGATAAATGCTTGGCAAGTCCTCTTAGGTCTACCTCTTCTTCTAGCCACATGCTTGGCAGCCCTTCTCACAAGATGCTCTAGTGGTCTTCTCTCCACATGTCCAAACCACCTAAGACGAGTTTCCACCATCTTTTCTACAATAGGTGCCACTCCAACTTTAGCTCTCATATCTTCATTCCTCATTCTATCCATACGCGTATGACCGCTCATCCAACGAAGCATCTTCATTTCTGCCACACTAACCTTGTGTTCATGTTAACCTTTTCTTGCCTAACACTCATACAATATAGGAGTACGGTAAAATTTTCCCTTTAGTTTTAAAGGTACTTTTTTGTCACATATAAAGCCCAAAGCACCCAGCCATTTTGACCAACTGGCTTGAACCCTGTGATAAACATCATCCTCTCCATTGTCTTGAATGATACACCCAAGATATTCAAATCTCTTTACTTGTGGTATAGTATTTTCCTCAACTTTCACATCCATAGCTAGCATTTTCTTAATTGTATTTACAGAAATCTACCTAAATAAGACTAAAACATAAAACTTATATCAAAATAAGATATCTTGTGTTTTTATCCCTAAATAGTAGTGTTGGCACTGTAAACGCCGCAGTTTGAGATTGTGTGCTGCCATTTTAGAGTGTTTTTTGGCATAATGCATTATTTAGCATTATAAGTCTTGTTTTGGTATAAAAACATTGTGAATCCTAATCTGGGCCATGAAACTTGATTTGGTCCTAGTTAAATTCATTTGATGTGAGTTTGATTTGTTGATTTTGTGTTTATCATGCATCTTTATTGATCTGCTGTTGGGACATAATTATGTGGTGCCCTATTAGTCCTACATTTTTATAGCAAAACTTCTGCACAAGGATATAAATTTTTACAAAACTTGGATGTGTCAGGACTCCCCCCTCCTACCTTCAGCTATGCCAATGGTCAGTGATCATACGGTATATCAGTATATGGCTTGTTCAAGCATGTTGTTTTCATGCTTTGTGTTGTTTTATGTTGCAGGGTAACATTGAGAACTGTGTTAAAGATGGCTTAAAGCACCCAGACAGCACTGTGGACGTTGTGAATGGAAATGTTGGTGAACTGTTTCCCCAAAACAAGTCCTCTAATATTGATAGCTCACAAGATAACAGTGGCAGCAAATCAGCGGTTCTAGAGGTAAGTTATTTGTGCCATTTGTGTTTAAGTGTACTCAGTGGGCCTTACACAGTTGTATATTACATGCCTTTTTCCAGTATTTCTATGGTTTCTTGTTCAAGCATGTTGTTTTTTCATGCTTTGTGTTGTTTTATGTTGCAGGGTAACATTGAGAACTGTGTTAAAGATGACTTAAAGCACCCAAACAGCGTCGTGCACGTTGTGAATGGAAATGTTGGTGAACTGTTTCCTCAAAACAAGTCCTCTAATATTGATAGCTCACAAGATAACAGTGGCAGCAAATCAGCGGTTCTAGAGGTAAGTTATTTGTGCCATTTGTGTTTAAGTGTACTCAGTGTGCCTTACATAGTTGTAGATTACATGCCTTTTTCCAGTATTTCTATGGTTACATGCTGGAATTTGCTGCAATAGTAAGTTCTATCTTATGTCTAGACGCCATTTCTGTTCGTGTTTTTTTCCACTCTTTTCTCGTGATCTGGTTGGGTATGCGGTGAATGTAGCTGTAGTAGCAGTATATGGGCTGGTGGAAAGGTTGGACGAACACATGAAGGGGAGCCTGGGTGCAAATGTTGAGTTGTTGCCACTTGCCATGTGACCGTGTGGTCATGGCTTCAAGTCTTGAGAGCAGCCATTTGCAAAAATGTAAGGTAAGGTTTGCCTACATTACACCCTTGTGGTTGGACCCTTCCTCGGATCACCGTTGCAGGGAGGCTTTGTGTAATGGGCTGCCCTTTATAGATGACTCTTTTCTCCAACCACCACTAGAATCATACCCGTGCATTATACCACATGGTAAGTAATATACTCCCTCCGTCCCTAAATAAATTTCCCTTATTGACTTTTTGGGAAATTAAGGGAGGGATATTTTGGTGTTGACTCTCCAAAAATACCCTTGATATGATGGATAAAAGTAAGATGTGATGGGTAGATTATTAATAAAAAGATATGATGTGATAGGTAGGGTATGAAAAAGTAAAGGGTAAAAGTGGTTTTTTAAGGAAAAAGAGAAGTTTTTTTGGGGACAAAGAAAAAACGAAAGGGGAAGTTTATTTAGAGACGGAGGGAGTATTTAAAAAAAAAGTTTGAGAATTTCATAAAATAGCTATCTATACACAACGTTAAATGTTAAGTTAATTATATAATTTCAAATTTTGAATATGACATATACTCCCTATTTCCATTTTATTCATTCAATATTTCTTTTCTTTTTTTTGTTTTTCAAGATATATGGCCTCCATATATTATGCATCTTTGGACAATGTATCGTTTAAATAAATGTAGAACATATGTTAAATTTATCAATAACCAAAAACATGCTACCACTTCTTACCAATACGTTTAGTGTTTGGAGGCAAGTCTTGGGACAATATGCCCTGTAATCAATGTTCCCAAAACATCTAATAATGTATTGAAAATAAAAAATACATTTATAATACATTTTATAAAAATTCCAATTTTATTAATTTTGAAAAATAGATACTTATATAAATTTTAATGCATGTGTATGTTTAATTAAATTATATATGGACTTGAAAATTTCATCTTGGGACAATGACCTGATTCAAGGCAAATAGAACCCATGTTCCCAAGATGTGCTTCACTTTAACATTACCTCTTTAATGTCAAAGCACATTTAATGGACTCAATTTTTGGGACAAATTTTGAGATAATAATTATTGATTCAGAAAATAAAAAATGAGTGATGCCTCGATCGAAATGGCTTTAAAAACTTTCATGTTTTTAATGAGAAATACTCCCTCCGTCCGGAATTAAACTTCCCATTTGGACTTTTTCCCATTTTTATGAAGTGTTGACTTTAGGATGGAAAAGTCCAAAATACCCTTCCCCCAATTGTCCCCACCCACTACCCTGCCTTTTGCTCTCACCATTTCCGTCGATACCACTGCTGCGGCAGATCCAAAACCACCGTCGACCCCCCGCAATCGCCACAGCCCCCACCACCACTTCAGCCCCTAGATCTTCCCAGACCTTACAAATTTAGAAGACAAACAAATAGGAGAAAAAGGGGAATAAGAAGAGGAAAAAAGAAGATGAATTGATTTAGAGAAAGAAAAGAGGGATGAGAAAGAATTGGGGGAGAAGAAAAAGAAGAAGAAGAAGAAGAAAGAGGAACAGATCTGGACGGAAAAAGGAGGACGAGAAAGAAGGGAGGGGAGAAGGAGGAGGAGGAGAAGAAGAAAAAGAAGAAGAAGGAATAGATCTGGAGAAAAAACAGGGTGAGAAAGAACTGGGGAAGAAGAAGAAGAAGAAGAATGGATCTGCAGGAGGAACAATTGTGGAGAGAAGAAAAGAAGAAGAAGAAAAAAAAGAGAAGAGAAAGGAAAGAGAGGAGAGAGGCGAGGAAGGGAGGAGAGAGAAAAGGGGAGGGGAGAGATAGGGTGAGTATTTGTAAGTGGGGGTATTTTGGGTAGTTAGTGTATAAAAAATTGAAATGGGAAGATTATTTCCGGACGGAGAAAAAGGAGAAATGGGAAGATTATTTCCGGACGGAGGGAGTAATAATGATTGGTGTAAAAACGTTGCATTTGTTTTCATGTTAGACACATTAAATGTCATGCACATTATTCACAAGATGATGTTCATATGTTTTCAAGATCATTTAATACTTATTTTATATATATAAATGCGCCATTCACATTTCTCTCCACAAGTTCCATTCTCACCGAAGCCGGTCCCTGTAATTATAAATATATATATATATATATACACACACACACACACATATGTACATATATATATGTATATGTATGTGTGTGTGTGTGTGTGTGTGTGTATATATATATATATATATATATATATATATATACTCCCTCCGTCCAAGATTAAAGTTCCCACTTTGACTTGGCACGGAGTTTAATAAAAGTAAAAATTTCCTTTGACTTTCCTAAAATACCCTCCATTCCTCATCCATACTTTTCTTTTCTTGTCCACTCATTTTGCTATGCAATCAGATCTGCCTATCTGTGCAATCGGATACCCCTCAAGCAGGACCTCCTCACTGCTCCGCCGCGATCTCCGACTGCCGGCTTGATGCTCTACCATCTCAACTCCGGCCGCCACCTCATTGATAGCTATCACTTTTTCACGCTGCTTTTATTAAAAAAAAAGACGAAAAATGAAGAAACTTGGGGCTCCTTCCTTCCGATCGAACACGCCAACTCAATCGGCACCTGTACTCCGCCGCCACCATAGATTTCTGAATTGAAATTCTCAGATGTGACGGAGATGGACTAGAAAGAAGAAAAGAAAAAAGAGGAGTTGAAGATGATTTGGGCTTGGGACCATGGGAAGAAGAAGAAGAGCAGGGAAGGAGAAGGAGAAGAAAGAAGATGAAAGGAGAAGAAACCAGAAAAAGAAGAAGAAAGAAGAAGATGAAAGGAGAAGAAACCAGAAAAAGATGAAGAAAGAAGAAGATGAAAAGAAAAGAAAAAAGAAGAAAGAAGATGAAAGGAGAAGAAACCAGAAAAAGAAAGAGAAAGAAGATGAAAAGAAAAGAGAGAAGAAGAAAGAGAAAAGAGAAGGAAGAAAAAGCAGGGAAGGATGGGAAAGGACGAACAGGGAAAGGAAAAAGAAAAAGAAAAGATAGGGAGTGGTTGGGGGTAATTTAGACTTTTTGATATGAAAAACTTTCCAAAATCATATCAGATCAGGCGAACAGTGTCGAGTTTTGGATCAGGAAATTAACAGATTTTTAGCCTAGATTTAGATGATAGGAGAGGAAGAGAGTTGGAGAATTTTCTTGATTATTCATTAACTAAAGTGCAGGGCTTTAAATAGCCAAAAACAATCAAAAAATATATCTAAAAAGAGATGTTGTAACTGCTCCTAAATAATAGCCCACTAACCAACAGCCCACTAACCACTAACAACCCCTAACTTTTAGCTAACAACTAGGAGATTGTTAAAGACAAAAGACTAATTCAAATAAAGACTAATTCAAATCATTAGAATTAAAATAACTAAATTATTCAACATCCCCACAGTTTGGACCGACCATGATCACTTTCTAACACCACCCCTTGATCATGGTCCCTTCACACCAACTCTCTCTCTCTCTGAAAAAGTCATGCTTAGCTTGGTTGAGTGCTTTAGTGAATAAGTCTGCATCTTGAGCTCCACTTCCACAAAATAAGGGCTGATCACACCATCACCCACTAACTTTCAAATGAAGTGGTGCTGCACCTCAATATGCTTCGTTCGGGCATGGAAAACTGGATTTCTGATCACGGCTATTGCAGACCTATTATCACACCATAGGTCCGTAGCCTCCCCTTGAACACAGCCCATATCACTCAGCAATTTCCTCAACCACACAATTTGTTTAGCTGCAGTGCAGCACTGGCAGCAACATACTCTGCTTCTATTGGAGATAGGGCTATGCAATCTTGCTTCTTAGAACTCCATGTAATAGCTCCACACCAAGGCTGAAAACTGAGCCTGATGTACTCTTTCTGTCGTCCAAACTTTCAACCCAATCACTGTCACAATAGCCCCTTGTCTGAAGTCCTCAGCTCTCTCATACCACAAGCCATGAGTTAGTGTATAGTTCACATATTTCATGATTCTCCTTGCAGCTCCAAAATGAATTTTGGAAGGAGAATGCATGAACCTTGAGACCAAACTAACACTAAAAGAAATATCAGGCGTGGTATGAGTGAGATAGTTTAGGCCGCCCACCATGCTCCTATACTCTGTCTTGTTTGCCAAGTCTGCTCCATCTTCTCTTCTTAGCTTCTCATTGGTGTTCATAGGGGTCTTTGACAGATCAGATTCCCTATCTTGAACCTCTTGAGTAGCTCCCTTGCATACTTTTGTTGGTGAAGAAAGATCCCATCTTTGTCTTGCCTTATCTCCAAGCCTAGGAAATTGCTCAGCTTGTCAAGGTCAGTCATCTCAAACTCTTGCATCATCCTCTTCTTAAAACTCGCTAACATGACTTGAGAAGAGCTCAGGTAGATGATGTCATCTGCTTAGACACACAATTAGGAAATCTTTAGATTCACCTTTCTTCATGTAGAGAGTGGGTTCATTCTCACTTCTTCTGAACTGATTTTGAAGAAAGAATGAATCCAGCTCTCATACCATGCTCTAGGGGCTTTTTAAAGCCCATATAGAGCCTTCACAAGCCTGTAAACCTTGCTCTCCTCTCCTTCCTTCACATAGCCCTTTGGTTGCTCAACAAACACCTCTTCTTGCAACTCCCCATTCAAAAAGGCTGACTTAACATCCAATTGATAAATGCTAGCTCCCCATTGTGCTGCCAAGGTAGTCCTTACTGTTACCACAGGGGAAAAAGTCTCCTCATAGTCAATTCCCTCCTTTTGTGTATAGCCCTTCACCACCAACCTTGCCTTATGTTTGTTTATTGAACCATCAACATTGTACTTGGTTCGATAAACCCACTTAAGGCCAATTGGTTCTTTACCCTTGGGCAAATCAGTTAGGACCCAAGTTTGGTTCTTAATGATTGCTCCCATTTCAGCATCCATAGCCTTATTACACTCCTCCTTCCTGATTGCCTCCTCATAGCTCTGAGGCTCAGTGCATATTAAGGCAAAACCACATTCCTATTGTTCTGCTCTGTCACACACATCAGCTACCTCTCTGATTTTGTGAACTGGAACAGGGTTTGGTGAAGAGTCATACCCTGCATAAGGCACTAGAGACAAACCGGATGAGGGTGAACTTGAGCTTGAACTTGGGCTGCCTTCACTCTGGGGTGTGTTTGGTGCTGTAGGAGATCCAGTTGACCCATTTTAAAGGTTTGATTGGGCTGAAAATTGTTCTAGTGAGTCTTCTCCATTGCTCAAAAAGATAGGCCTATCATGGTAAGTGCCAACATCTCCCCAATCCCATCTAGCCTCTTCATGAAATATGACATTCCTACTTACAATAATCTTCCTACTAGTTGGATTAAAGAGCCTATATGCCTTAGACTCTAGAGAATAACCAATGAAAATACATTTTTCAGCCTTGCTGTCCAACTTAGTTCTAATAGGAGTTAAAGTGTAGGAATCTCTAAGATGACTTACATTGGGTTTCTTCTTCCTCCATGCTTCGAAAGGAGTCTTGTTGTGCACGGCTCTGGTGGGAGATAAGTTGAGCACATACACGGCAGTGGCAACTGCTAGGGGTGTTCATGTTTCGGTCTGGACCGAAAAAACCGAACGGACCAGACCATTAGGTCCAGACCGAACCCGGACCGATTTGATTTCGGGTCGGTCTTCGGTCCGAATAATTTCTCATTTTGGGTATTGGTCCGGTCTGGTCTACACCCGAATAACCTTAGGTCCAGACCGATTAAAAGATAAATTCCATGATTTTTACCCCCTCTTAATTTCGATCAGATGCAAAGCCCCAAGAGTCCTTATCTTATTCTTAGCCTCAAAATCCAAATCTTTCTCTCTCTCTCTCCTTTGAAATCATCGATCTCCATCTCCCTCTGAAATTGACTTCTCTGATTCTCTCTCACCATCTGAAATTGATGTCGGCCTCTCCGTCTGGAATTGACACCATCTTCTCTGCCATCTTCTCAGACTAAGGACGCATCTTCCACCTCGCACAATCTCCATCTGAAATCGATGCTGAATCGCACGGTTTCGTATAAATTTCAATTTAGCCACTCAATTCTTATGTTTGAACACAAAATTCCAACATATATAAACCACATTTTTTTGTTTATGTGCACAATTTTTATGTTTTTGTTGTGGTGTTGTAGTGCTGTGCACACAATTTCAGTTTAATTTTTATGTCTTCAATCCAATCTTATGTGGTTTTTTGCTTATACAACATTAAAAATTCAATTGTAAAAACTTAAAAAAAATTGGTCTTTTCGGTCCATACTGGTTTGGTCCAAGGGTTTTTGGTCCGGACCGGTCTAAGACCGATTTCTTATAGGTCCGGTCTTCGGTCCTAGTTTTTTCTCATTTCAGTCTTTGGTCCGGTCCGGTCCTTGACCGATGAACAGCCCTAGCAACTGCTTCTCCCCACAAATAGGTAGGCATCCGTTTTGCTTGCAACATACTCCTTGCAAGCTGCACCACAATCCTATTCTTCTTTTTCGAGACACCATTCTGCTCTGGTGTATAGGGGGCAGTGAGTTCCCTTCTTATCCCTCCTTTCTCACAAAAGCTCACAAACTCTTGTGAGAGGAACTCCCCCTCTCTGTCAGTCCTTAAGGCCTTAATCTTCAACCCTGTTTGGTTTTCAACCAAGGCCTTAAAGATGATAAACTTCTCAAAAGCCGTTGATTTGGCTTTCAAGAAGTAAACCCAACTGAACCTACTCTTGTCATCTGTCAAGAGGAAGAAATACTTGCTGCCTCCTAGTGATATGGTCCTCATAGGCCCACACAAGTCTGCATGGATGAGCTCTAGGCACTCCTTAGCCCTCCATTCACTTTGTGCTGGAAAAGGCCTCTTTGACTGCTTCCCTTGGACAAAAGCCTCGCAAAAACTGAGGTCACCAATCTGACCCAAACCATAAGCCATTTCTTTTGCCTTCAGTAGCTTCAACCCTTGTACTCCTAGGTGACCATATCTCAAGTGCCACAGATCAGCTTCTTGCACCTTGCTTGCTACCAAAGCTCTTCCTACTGCTGCATTTAGATCAAGTGCAAACATCTTATTACTTGCCATCTTGACCCTTATCACCACTTCACTTCACTTGTCCCTGATAACACATTCATTCTTCTCAAATATGACTGAATACCCATTTGTCACCAATTGGCCCACACTTAACAGGTTGTGTGCCAATTTAGGGACAAATTGGACATCATGGATGGCCTTTTGCTTGCCTCCTCCTACCACTGAGATGATCCCCTTTCCTTCAACAGTGAGGGGAAAGGGGACCGGACCGGAAACTATGATGATCCCCTTTCCTACCAAAACTATATAAAAAACAAATATTAAAAAAATAAATAAAATGTAACCGGTCCACCGGTCCGGACCGAAACACGGTGGACCGTACCGGACCGGTCCGGTCCGGTTTTGGCCGGGTTTCGGGTCGGTCCGAATAATGCACACCCCTAGCACACCCCTATCTGTTGCCGTTGCTCGCGGTTGGCAAGTTGATCAGTTGGATGTTAATAATGCTTTCTTGCATGGGGATCTTCAAGATGAGATTTATATGAAGCTTCCTCCTGGCTATTCTCATCTGTTTCCTGGGAAGGTTTGCCAATTGCAAAAGTCCTTATACGGGTTACGTCAGTCTCCCCGTAATTGGTTTCTCAAACTTCGTCTAGCACTTCGACATTATGGTTTTCGTCAGGAACATGTTGATCACACTCTTTGTTCTTTGTCGTTGACCTGATATGCTTGTTGTTCTTGTTTACCTGCTTGTGTTCTTCTTTTAAGAAGTATTTGGATGCATGTTTTCAGCTTAAAGATCTCGGTCCTGTCTCTTATTCTCTAGGTATCGAGTGTGCTCGCTCTTTCGCTGGTATGGTTCTCAATCAGCGCAAATATACTTTGGATATTATTTGAGAGCATAATCTTTCTGGTTGCAAGCCTGCTGACACTCCTTTGCCGAGTAATCATAATCTTGCATCACCAGACCCGACATTTGCTATGATGTTCATGCTTTGTCTCAGCTTATGCACGCTCCGAGGTTGGATCATTGGAATGCCACCTTACGTGTTCTTCGGTATCTTAAGGGGGCATCCTGGTCTGGGTATTTTCTTTCATCGTGATAGTGATTTGACCCTAATGGCTTTTTCTGATTGAGACTGGGCAAGTTGTCATATCACACGACGATCAGGTTATTTCGTCTTACTTGGCGGTTCTCCTATCTCTTGGCGCACTAAGAAGCAAACTACGATCTCTCGTTCATCAGCAGAAGCCGAGTATCGCGCCATGGCAGATGCATGTGCCAAAATACGGTGGCTACGAGGACTACTCTGCGGTTATATTTTGACAACAAATCTGCCTTCTTCATTGCGGCCAACCCAGTCTTCCATGAGCGTTCCAAACATATTGACATTGATTGTCACATTGTTCGCGAGTGTCTCCAGCGTTCTCATATTGTGACAGCCTAAGTTCCCACACGATTACAAACAACAGACATCTTCATGAAGGCACTCCTGGGTTCTCTCTTTCATTCTCTTTTAGCCAAGTTTGGCATTTTTTATCTCTATGCTCCAACTTGAGGGGGGAGTGTTAGCGTATATTGTACATATTTTATATTTCTTGTATTATTTGTGTTTATCTTGGACTTATCTTGTTGGGCTTGTAACTTGTATATATATTCTCTCGTATCAATGAAATGATCAACAAAATTCAGCTCACAAATTCTACACATCTAACAAAGGAGATATAGTAATAGGATAAATAAATTCAAAAATGCTCCGGAAGTAATTAGTTAATATTGGATTAATTAGTTAATATTGGTTTTGCTTACAAATGAAAACTGAAAAAGTTCTAGAGATGAAATTTAAGTTGATGAGATATATATGAAATTTATATGGAAACGATGTATAAATGAAAAGAAGAAGATTTGTAACCTTGAATTGTTAAAAAAATATATGAAGAAATTGGCACAACCCCTGCGCCAATGCCTCCCCTGGATTTGCCATTGTGATTGCCATGCTGAGTACCATCTCTAGGTCTGAGACGGAGAAGGAGGCACTGATCAAATAAATATGAAATTTATATGGAGATGTATCAATGAAAAGAAGATTTAGAATCTGAAATCGTGAATACGATTGAAGAAATTTGCCCAGCCCCTATGTCATCGCCTTGCTGAGTCCCCCGGATTTGTCATAGCTATTTCCTTGTTGAGTCCCATTGCTAGGTATGAGATGGAGAGGGAGGGACGTGAAGTGAGAAGCCTGGGCGCTTAATCAAGGAATGGATGAGAAGGAAGGAACCGGGCGAACTTCCCCATGAACAACTAATGTAGCTGTGAATAGGCTGTTTGGACTCCCCAATCCCCATGCAAAGTTAAATGAAGGAAAAGGTTGTGGCTTATCAATTCTCAATCAGGGGCCAAGATTGATCCTAAAAAGCGCATACCGGTGGATATTGCAGCAGGATGGGCAGGAAAACTTAGCCAGATTTTCACTTGCTTCTATACATTACAGTATATAATGTTATATTAGACTAAACTCATTTTTCATAATTGTTTTTACTGTTATTAATTGGTAGGTAATTCATTTGGCGGGAGTTTCATTTGTTGATTATGTCTTTATCCCGTATCTATGTTGATCCGTTGCTGGGCTCATAATTATGTGGTGTAAATTTTGAAATTGGATTAAACAAGTAGATTTGATTTTTGTTTAAGCAAACATTTGCCTAATATCTGCACTTTGACACAATCTGCTCATGCTTTTGTGTATGCAGGAATCTGCAGAGGATGCTGCTGCCTGTTTCACTTAATAGACCACGCTCTATAGCAAGGCCAGGAATGTAAGAGTATCTTATCTTTGACATTTTTATTTTATTTATGGGAATGCCTTCCAAATTCCAATGCTTAATGTTTATGTGTGACTGCAATAGGACTAGAGGTGGCAATTAGGTCAATCGGATCGGTTTCGGATTGGATTTTTTTGTTTGGGTATCTTTCGAATATATGTTATAATGGGTTCGGTTCGGTTTGGATTGATTTAATTTCGATTCGGATTTGATTCTGTTCTATATATTTTCCGGTTTTGGTTCGGTTTTGAGCCGGTTCAGATACCGTTCGGATATAAATCAGTTCACACAGATTTCGGATCGAAAATAATTTGGATCGGATACATTTCGGTTTCGGATCTAGTTTGGTTCAGATATAATCGGTTTTGGATATGTTTAATTCGGATATATTTTGATCGAATATATTTTGGATACATATTATTTTCTAATTAAAATTTAATTATCCATGTTTCTTTTTTTTGTTTTATTACATTTATCAATCTATCATCAATTAAACATGTCTTATTATTTTATATTATTTCTAAATAGACTATCACTACTCTAAATCATCTTTCTTTTTTGACCTTTTAATTATATTTTACAAATTTGGAATACAAGTTATGAATAAATAAATATTTAACTATTATATAAAATTAATTTAACTAAATTGATTTTAAAATTTAGTTTTGATATATCAAATTTTTAACTCACCTACTAATATTCTTATGTTTATAAATGCGAAGATAAAAGAAAAATTCAAATAGTGTTACGCTTTAATTATAAAATTTTGTAAAAATTAAGTGAAATTAGGTAAAATTAATGGAATTTTATTTAATATAACTCCTAAAAATTGATAGAATTGATAAGATTAATACAATTCAGTGCAAATTTTATAAAATGTTTGAGTGTATTTGGTTCATATTAGATAATATTAAATTCAATCAAATATAAATAATTTTATACCTAAATTTAATGATGTAGATCAACATTGAATATGATAACATTAAATGTTGCCTCTAGAGAGTTTTTTCAAAACAAATCTTTAACTTTATTGAGTAATATTAGGTGAATTGGTTTGAAACTAATCAAACTAACTCACAAATCAATAAAATTTATTGTAATGTGATGAAATTAGGATAAATTAGGTTTTTCCATATAATTCATCATATAATCCTTCCGTCCCAAAAAGAATCACACTTCAGTATTTAAAAATTACAAAAGTTTTATTTATTTGTCCGTTTTCATTTATTATTTGATAGAATAAACTATTGTTCTTGTTACCTCTTATTTTGCAAATTTTGACATATTTTTTAAATATTTTTTTTAAAAAAATTAAATTTTTACTTTGTTTTGCGTTATGTAGCATTCTGATCACTTTTCTTACGCCACTATTCAGCTCATTTCTCAATTCCCACACACCTTCAACAGTTAGACCTAATTTCTTTCAAGTGATGCTTCACGTTGTTTTTCTAATATCTTATTATCTTTAATTTTGTTAATAGCAAAATAGTTGGGTCAATTTATTAACCCCATATTTTATATGTATAACTTTTGTGCAATTTCTATATATCACAAAATTTAAGACCTGAGTTTTTTTAATTTTTTTCAAAGATCGTAAACCATTTTACGAGGAATGAGCAAGTAATGTAACTAGTTCATATGGTAAACTAAAAGTGAAAATATAAAAATATAATATGCTTATTGAAAAGGCAAACATAATTTCAGATTTTATCGGTTTTAGTACTAATCGGTTTTGAGTTTTATCGTTTCGGGTTTAATCAATTTGGATATGATCGGTGTTGGATCTGATCAGTTTTGGGTTTAAATTAGATATAAATTATTTAGTTCGGTTTCGATTCAGATCTTTTTGGGTTTTTGGTTATAGATCAAATCTTTATTTTTTGAATCATTTCAGTTTCAGATATCTCAGTTCGGGTAATCGGTTTCGATTATATTTTGCTAGGTCCAAATAGGACCAGACATTATTGACATAGAACACATGTCATTTGTAAATCAACAACAACAACAACAACCCAGTTGGATCCCACTACAGTAGGGTCTGGGGAGGGTGTGTGTACGCAGACCTTGCCCCTACTTGGAAGCAGGGAGGCTGTTTCCAAGAGACCCCCGGCTCAACCTACAGAAAAAATGATAGGGTATACAGTATAGCATGGATAAAAAACCAAGTGCAATGAGAAGAAAGTTCTACAAGCATTAATAGAAGATTCCAATCAAACACAACACACTACAAAAAACCTCTATAGCACCGAGTTCCTAACCAGCTACTCTAATCCTAGTTCTCCAAAGGTTCCTATCTAAAGCCATATCCTCAGTCAGGGTGAGAAGTCCTAAATCCTGTCTAATCACTTCCTTCCAATTCTTCTTAGGTCTACCCCTTCCTCTACTTCCCCCAAAAACCGTAATCCGCTCGCATTTCCGTACAGGGGCGTCAGCATCCCGCCGTCTCACATGACCAAACCATCTCAACCTCGCTTCCCGCAATTTATCTTCCACCGGCGCCATGCCTACCTGACGTCGAATAACTTCGTTCGAAATCCTATCCAACCTTGTCTTCCCACACATCCATCGTAACATCCGCATCTCCGCCGCATGCAGACGACGCACATGAGTCTTCTTAACCGCCCAACACTCTGCCCCATATAACATAGCAGGTCTGACTACGGATCGGTAGAACTTGCCTTTCATCCTGGGCGAAATCTTCGGGTCACACAATATCCCTGAAGCCAACCGCCATTTGGCCCAAGCCACTCCAACCGTCATTTGTAAATATTGTAGAGATTAGATCCCCCCCCCCCCTTGCCCTTGAATCCTAAAATTATTCACAAGGCCAACTTTTTGTTTTTCTTTACTTATTTATTGTTAATCATTTTTTAAAATGATATCGTCATGTCACTTTTTTTATAAAACATTTGACGTATTTTTTAAATATATAAATTTAATTTAAAACTTTGTCGTGGCCTTTTAATTGCATATGCGGGAGGAGATTCGACGCTAGAACTAGGTGAGTATGGGCAGTCAGAGGGCTTCAAGACTTTGGGTATCGCCGATGATAGTTCGAAGGAGGTGGCTCGGGCCATCGACGGATAAGGTGGCATTGCTGCATTAGGGCCGGATGAGATTTGGGTGGAGTTTTTTAAGCATGTGGAACGCGGTGGGTGGGGATGGATAACTAAGCTCTTCAAGAAGACTATGATGCCTGACGAGTGGAGGGAGAGCGTGTTGGTCCATCTGTTTAAAGGTAAGGGTGACATCTTTGTCCCCTTCGAAACAACATTTCTTAGATCCCCGTGTACACGTTTTTACACAAATAGCCATTGGACCCAGCAGGTACCACATGACTCTAACTTACTATACTTATGGCATACCTTGCCACTAATCCGTTCAGGTCATTTCCTATAGTTCTTCTAGGTGATATATCTAATATTCATTAATCAGTACATAATACAACATTCATAAATCCACAATGTATTTAACAAGATGTCCAACATAATCAAATAGCGGCCTAATAAAATTTGTGATATTTCACTTTGTGGTTTGATGTCCATCTTTGAAGACTTAAACAAATCCTGTGATACGGAAATTAGAATTCTTGCTCGGAAATGTCAGAGACAAGTAAGGAATTCTCGAAGTAGTTGTTCACTTTGGAATTCTCAAATCCGGAATGCTCTAGGATATCCGGAAGTCTCGCTACAATCCTGTGAAGGCTAAGTCATCCAGATCGGAAGACTAGCACGGATCTGTTTTTCACCCAGAAGTCTAAGAATGACTAATCCGGAATTGTCAGCTAAGAACCGGATGTCTCAAGGAAGATCGGAACTCTCAGAAGCAGACTAGTGAGAAAAGACTTAGAAAAATATATAAGTCATGAATGAAGAAATTCTACCCGTCAAGAACAAATGACATGAAGACAAAGTCTGGACTTTTAAACTTGAAGAGCTCGCCCAGAATTCTCAAACAAACACAAGAAGACAAAATGGGTACTCCACTCAATAAAAAGTTACAGTCCAGAATTCTTGAACAACAGCTAAAGGACGGATTCTGTGAAAAAGAGAATCCTTCTTTAAACAATTGGGTATGTCCAAACACTCATTCCAAAGGAAAATCCTCAATCTCACTCTTCGTTCAAAATTGAAGCCCGCAAATGCAACGGATAGTCTATTCCCTTCAACGGATAGATCATCCATCCAGCTATATATAGCTCCCATGGAAGACTTGAGAAAAACAACCAAGAGAACAACAAACATAGCAACGATACAACAAAAGCTATCTCATTCACAGTTAGCCAAAAGCTTGAAAAAGAGAGATTTCTAAACTCCTTATCTAGAAGCAAACTCTTCCTCCTTCCAAAGAGCTATAGTGTAAACACTTGAAGGTCTCCTTGCCTCAAGTACCACACCACGTTGAAGGATACAACTGTTAATCAAACTTCTTGATTAAAAATGGGGCACATAAACTTTTCTACAAGTTGATCTTGCAAGTCCTATTGTTCGGACCTTGCAGTTGTTGAAGAAGCGTGACCTTCGAAGGAACAACAAAAGTCAGCATGAGTGCAGTAGCAATATTTGTCTTGTAAAGATATACCGTGCAGAAATTCACAAACGTGTAATTGTTGGTTCATTATTTAACAACCAACTACATAGTGGATTTTGAGGACGTAGAAGGACTACCCCACCTTCGAACCTTGTTAAAGTTTGCGTGTCTCTCTCTTTTATCTTTACTTATATTTGCACTTATATTAACTGTGAAACTAACACATCCATCCATATTGATTATTGCTCCATTAACCCACCAACTTCCGCACACAATCTAAGTTCACAATGCAAGAACTTTAGATTGACACTCTTTCTCTCCTTGAGTAATAATCGATTATCCAAAGTGACAATCGATTATCAAGCTTCTCTGAAAACCGAAAAGCTTGGTTGAATCAAACTCCTTTTCTTAGCTCTGGCATAACGTCATCCCTTCATTCCGCCTCAAATAACAACTCGTCTATACCTCGGGTCTCGGGTATAACAAAACCGAATGGAACCGTCTTTGGTCATACTAGCCTTCTTACTCGCTCGTTGCACTCACTATTTGCTTTCTTCAAGTAATAAACGAATTATTGGAATATTATGGCGTTGAGACTGAAACAACCTTCTCTTTCGCTTGGCGACTTTCCCTTTCTTTCGTATCTCTATCTTCCTTTATTCTTTACGGCTTGGCCTTCCAAAAACTTTGCTGACGCTCAATTACATCGAGCCAGGGCTAAAGCCCCCCATAATACACTAATATTTAAATAATTAGAATTGAATATAACTTGAGTCAAACATTGTAAAGCAAGATGTGGAGTTTAAAAAAGGGGCGGAAGGAGTATTAGTCATGTTCAATCTATTTTTACATTAGAGTTTTTTTTTCTCTTCCATGAGTATAGCAACATGAATTACTTTTATGTGAAGCACTGTTTTACCATTAAGATCATATGTCAGGGTGCAAACCTACTACCAAAACGGAAGATACAATATATAATTATAAAGCTATTGCAAGCTTAAAAGATATAGGCTTAGAACTAAGCACACGGCTTATGTACTACTAAACTAAACCTCATACTTCTGTTTTTCTTTGGGACCTACATTCATAAGGTGACCCATTATTTTTAGAAAAAATCCCACATTTGGACTCTACAATTCAAATTACTTAATAGATAATATTGACACAACATCTCACAATTCAAAGCAAAATGTTTAAAGCTCTTTACAGTTTACATAACTTCGATGTGAGAGGTTAGAGAAGTAAATGGATTGAATAAAAGGTTTTGGATGAAAAGAATAATAATTTAGAAAACGTAAGGTTTCAATGTGATAGTTTGGACATTGCATGGTCAATTTTGCATACATTGTATAGATTGTAGATAACTCTTTCAATGGTCCAATTTTGTGTGGATGTGTCACTGTGTGTGTGTGTTTGTGTGTTAAAGCTTTCTGTTGATTCCTGAATGATCTCATGTTCTTTGTTTATAGGATGAAGGACTTCTTGACTCAAAAAAGATTGCTGCATTTGATTTTGATGGATGTCTTGCCAAGACAAATTTAAAAAGGTATTGTTTATATGCACAACACACTACATTTACCTCATGTGTTCTGCTTGTATTTATTTATGTATTTATGCCCTCCATGCCGGAAAAAGATTCTTTAGCCTTTCTTTTTGTTTTTTTGTCCCAAAATAAAGTTCCACTTTCCTTTTAAAGAAATGATTATATGTTTTACACCATTTCTCTCTTTTGCATAACTCTCAACCTTCCAATTTTACCTTATTAATAATTGTAAGCGGTCAAATGTGGAACCTTAATTTTGGATGGTGGGAGTATTTCTTTCGTTATATATTTTTAATTTTCACAACACTACCAGCAAATATCCTTATTGTAGACATAAGAGAAAATGACTGCTGGTTGGTTGTGGAATAGATAGTTTTATTGTAGTTCCATTTTTAAATGTAGAGTTGGTGCAAATGCTTGGTCTCTTATGTATCCTTCAATACCAGAGAAACTTCAAAGCTTGTACAGTGATGGCTATAAGTTGGTTTGTATTTTTAGATCTTACCTGGTTGTACTTTATTTTTGCATGCACTCCGCAGTAGTTCTGTTGAAGTTGATCAACCATATCTTACACTGTTTTAAAGTATATATGATCTGAAGCAATTACCTGATTTGGGAATTTACTTGGTTGTACTTTTACAAAAAGGTAATCTTTACCAATGAATCAAATATAGAGCGCTGGAAGAACAAAAGACAGACACTTGTGGACTCCAAAATCAGGAGACTTGCAGGCTTTATAAAGCTTGCGAAGGTCCCTATCTAGGTGGTTCACAATCCTATTTTCTAATGTGGGTGGGTGGTGTGCCTGCTTGCTCCCTCTAAATGTGCTGCCTGCTTCTTTTATTGAGTAATTCATTCATAAAGTGCTTTAATCCCCAAGTTTTTGTGAATTGAAGGTCTTCATTGCTTGTGGCTCCAATGCCTCAAAGATTGACCCCTATCGCAAACCAAACATTGGAATATGGTCTTTTCTTAAGAACCATTTCAATTCTGGACTTCCAATTGACATGGACAAGTTAATCTCCGTCTTGCTGTATCAATTTTCATTTTTCTTGTCTTCATAATAATAATAATATATTGTAATGTTGAAAACTTGTCGTGAGGTCCAAGACAAATTAAAAATTTATAAAATATCTTTAACTAACCCCCAATATATAATCAAATAAAAACTATAGCTAGGGCAAGTAAGGGTAGATCCCACGGAGAAAATCTGTACTTTTGAAATGAAATTAGCATGCACAAAATAAACTTACTACACATATGATAAGACGTATAAAACTTATAACTAAATAAATATAAAAACTTATACGAACTTAGAATATAACTTATAAACATAAAACACATACTTAGAATATACTAAAACAGTATAAAAACTTAAATTTATAACTTATAAACCAACACTTACAATATAACTTAGTAAATAAAACTTATATTATAATCTAAAACAATGTAACAAGGGGGGGTTGTTGAATAAAAAGTAAATATTTTTTTTTGGTTTTTTATATTTTTAGATAAAATGGGGGAAAACAAGCTCAAAAGATAATCAATTTCCCCAAATAAGGTAACCTAAGAAACACCGCCAAGAACCTGAAACAAAATGAAAAAGAGAACAAACACAAGTTGAACATTACACGTATAATAGACACGTAGATAATATATTACGTAATTTACGCACTTAAGAATAGGAAAAACAATCAAAGCCCAAGTCGATTCATTTCCTTAACCACGATATGGAGGATTGTCAACTTACCACACGGCTTGGAGTCATGTAATTCAAAGGCCCATTTTGAAATATAACTCAGAACCCCAACTCAACAATCAAGCATGAAAACATACTTCCACTATAGAAAAAGTTTATAAAAGAGCGATTTTTTTTCATTGTAACTCTCATGCATAATCTATTCACAAACCGCCAATAAGTTATGCATTTTAACAAACTTTTTCTCCTAATGATGAGCACATTTCACAGATTTCCATGAACTTCTCAAACTAATGACGTTTTTTCTATTCACATAAATGAACACAACATATTTTTAATAAATTGAGAATTATTTTTGAGCTTAAACAACTTCAAATTAATGAAAATAACAAAGAAGCACATGAACACATAACAATCACTCAATAACAAATTCTAAGGAAAATGAATCAACTTATGGGGCTAAGAAGTCCAAATTCCTTAAAATCAACAAACACAAATCAAAACAATGAATCACGTATGAATCCGGAGTTCATTTAACTACCTTATGGAGCTAAAATAGCTTCAACAAAAAGCCGAATTCCACGTACCAACCTACTTATGAAATTGAATTATGCAATTCAATCAATTCAACAACAACTTGCTCAATAATTGAAGAAAAATTAATTTAAATCAATCTCATTCATAAGGGATTTAATATAAACAGTAAAAAAACCATAAAGAACACCAACCATTTTTTAGAATTTACGAAATTAACACAACAAGTAAACAAACATGTAAAAATTGAACAAAAAGCAAACTTTTACATAGAATTGATGAAGAAAAATGCTAGAGTCACAAACTTAAAGTTCACAAACTTCTAGCATTACTCATTGATGAAAAAAATAAAAATTGGCAAATAAGGGTTACCAATTGTTGAATATGATGAACAAATTGAAGAATTGGAGCTTGAAGGAATCACCACTAGTCGCTGGAGCAGCTGCTGACCACCACTGCCGTCGTCGCCGGCCAGATTCGCCGGTCGCCGCCATAGCAGCGGCCAAGCCGCTGCTCTCTGATTTTTCTCGGTGTGAATTCCCCTTCGTTGTTCCCCCCACCGTTTGTGAGTAGCGGCCTCCAAATTTATAGCAGGGATTAATTTACCGTTGAATTACTTCCCGTTGAGAATTAATTGGCGAACGTTGGAGGAGAGGCGCGTTGAAGGAACTGGTCTTCACCGGTTTTACGCAAAGAAGAAGAAGAAGCCGCTGATTTATTCTCTCCTTTTTTTTTCTTTTGTGCGTAAACATGAAATCAAATTGGGGAGAGAGATGTGTTGGGTTGATTCTTTAATGGTTGATTTGGGCTCCGGCCCAAAATCTATTTCTTCCCTTCAAACTTGAACTGTACTTTGGCCTTTTGGCTACACTTTTCTCCAAAAAAAGATATTGCTAACTTGGGTTAGGAAAAATAATAAAATGTAAAAAATTGATTAAAAAGCTACTATTTATTCAAGAAAATTAAAAAATTGTAAAAACAAGAATTGAAATAAAACTAAGCTAAAAAACTAAAAATTAAACACTAAAAATATTAAAAATGCCTAAAAAAGAATAAAAAAAACTAACCCAAACCCAACTTATCATGTAATAAATTATAATTTGTGTTGTTTTAACTTTTAATTCCATTACGATGTCAAATGTCTAGCATATTCTATTCTAGATCTTTCTATGTTGGCGATGCTGCTGGTAGAGAGATGGATTACAGTGATGCACACACTAAATTTGCCCAGGTAACACAGAATTTGATAGTGGGTGCGGTGCATATATTGATGACTAAAACTTGTTAATAAGAGAAGTATTTTCATCTTGGATTGACTGCAGGCCATTGGACTGAAGTTTTACGTTCCTGAGGAGTTCTTTTCTGTCTAGGAATATGTGTCACTCACCTGTGCGCATTGTAATCCTGTTCCTGAAAATGTGTAGCATAATCAATATGGATATATTGTTCATGCATGTGCCCTTCATCTGTATGAAATGTTAGTAAATGAAAAATGCTAAATGAACCCCAATTTTGACCCACTTTTAACCTCACCTTGTTAGGTTCATAGTGTTAGTCGGTTTAGTCGTTGTGCCCACGCCTTAGAGGGGGGTGAATAAGGCGTTTGAAAATCTTTTCGGATTTTGATAAAAACGGTGTTGGCAAATGCGGAAGCAATATATAAAACGCAAAAGTAAAAACGTAAAGTAAATACACACCGATTTTATACTGGTTCGGAAACTCCCTACTCCAGTACCTTAAGGCTCCTCCTTAAGGATTTCCGAGTCCACTAAGTCTCGGCCTCTTGAACTCCGTCAAAGCACCGCACTAGTTTTGGCAAACAACCCTTGCCAATAGGATTCACTTCAAGATTTCACAACGGCTATCTCGTACCGTTCTCCCCAAGGATTTCAAAGGCTATCCTTGAACCGTTACCAAAGGATTTATACGGCTATCCTTAACCGTTACAACGTGAGAATTTAACGGCTATTCTCGACCGTCAGAAGGTGTGTTTGAAAAACACAAACAAGAGTTCTACACAACGGCTTGAATATAAAAACGAAGAACAAAACTTAGCCGGTGTAGAAGGAAAGTATACTCTCTCAAAAATACAATTCAAACTTATGAATATGAGAGTATATAACTAGAAACACAAGCTCAAAGTGTGTGTATAAAAATCAGGAACTTTTAAGGCTCTTAAAATAGCCAAAATATAGAAAATAATTAATAAAGGAGTGAACACACTTAGAATATTAAATGAGGATGTTTGGAGCTTTTTTTCTTGAAGAAAATATGAAGGATTAGGCTTGTATTTATAGTGGAAGATGTTAATTAGCCGTTGGGAGGTGATTAGGGTTGATTTAATTCAAAATTGGCAATCAGGAACAGTAACCACAACGGATCCGGTACCCTTCACGGTAGGGGTCAGTACCGTCCGGTACCTAGGTACCGTGTCACGGTACGGCCTACCGTGTGGGGGTACCGTATAGGCCAAAATGTTGGTTGGTCTCTGGCGGTACCGGCTTAGGACGGGGGTGGCCTACCGTTTGTGCCTCCCGTACGGTACCAAGGTACCGTTACACGGTATAGGGGTACCGTGTAGGCGGTATACCCTAACGTTTGGGGTACCGTGCCACTGTCTTGAATTTTCCAAAATTCCCGTAATCCTTCGTGTTTGAGTTTAAAACCTTTTGGATATTTGAAAAACGTTTATTGGACGCTTTTAAACATAGTTTCTGAGGGCTTTTGAGCTTGTGAATATAGGTATATAAAATCATATTCTTACATTGGTTTATACCTATATTCTATGCTAATTTGGTGTTTCGAATTCATTCTTGAGTACCGAATCTTAATGGATTCTTGTTGTACTTGAAACACTTAAACAAACGTCAAGCTCTTATATTGTTTGTTAACATCAAAACATGAGGCTTAGCAAACCAAGGCTAACACATAGACAATCAATGTTTTGTATCTGTGAATATCTGAAAGAAGAGGGATGAAAAGTGAGGTCAAAATTGAGGCCCGAAAGCATAACTAGTTAGTAAATAGTCCTGCAAAATTGTTGCCTTTTTATTACTGACATGCAGAGAGTTGCTTTTATGGCGCCAGAGAGCAATGTCATTTCCCCAACAGCAACGGATAGCGTCAACCCATGTGTTGTAACTTATCAATTTTGTTTGAAAAATGAGCTTCTTATCCGAAGCATTTTGTGGAATAATAGTTAAACCAAGGCTTTACTATTTGATCTTTTTATTCAGGAAAGTTGTACAGTAGTGAATAAGTAGCCTAGAAAGTCTTTCTTGTGTGCTTGTAAAAAATCAAACCAGACTTGTTGAGTTGCTAAGGTAAGGCAATTATAATGCTGTAGGTTGAAAGAGGCTTTCTTAGTCTAGTGGAGACTCTTTGTGGAAGAATAGGAGAATATGTGGTATAGGGGGATCAGTTGAAGTGGGAGAGGAGTGAGCTAGGTGAAATAGTGGGAAATGAGTTAGTGATGTGAGCGACAAGGAAAGGGACATGTGTTTAGTTAGGGTAGAAAAATGTTGGATAGGTCTGATGGTAAAGAGGAGAGAAGTGGATAGATGATGAAAAGTAATATTAATTAAATTTCACATTCTTACTGCAGAAGACCTGTCTTATGTGAAGGTCAAGGAGTTTGTGAGCCTTTTGTGGAAAGGATAACCCTAAAAAACATAATGAATGATGAGGCTCAAATTTAGTTATTTGAGAAGACAAGCTTGTAGCAAAGCATACACAGTGAAAACATTTGAGATGGTCATAAGAGGACTTTGAAACACAATATCATATATATTGGGTTTTGTGTTAAAGAATGGTAAGTGGGAAAATGTTAATCAAGTAGCAGGTTATGAGAACACA